AAGAAAAGACCAAAATGGATCAGAAGAAACTCTGAATATTGCTATAGAGTACCAAGAAGCCAAAGCAAAGAGAAGAAATCAAGAAGTTAAGGAGTTGAATAGAATATTACAAAGGGCCGCTCGGGGAAGACAAGGCAAAATATCATAATAAAGTGTGCAAGGAGCTGGAGTAGGAAAATCAAAAGGGCCAAACTCACTCAGCATTTCTTAAGCTGAAAGAACTAAAGAATAAAGTCAAGGCACAAATGGCAATGCTTAAGGATGCTTTGGCCAGAATACTCAATGATTCAAGAAGCATTAAAAGAATATGGAAGGCATATACAGAGTCATTGTACCAAAAAGAATTGGCTGACACAGAAGAATTTCAAGATACAACATATGATCAAGAGGCAGTCGTGATGAAGGAGAAAGTACAGGCTGCTCTGAAAGACTTGGCAGAAAATAAAGCCCCAGGAATTGATGGAATACCAATTAACATATTTCAGCAAACAGATGTTGCCCTGGATGTGCTCACAAAGTTGTGGCAAGAAATCGGAAAGACAGCTTCTTGGCGAACTGACTGGAAGAGATCCATATTTATTCCCATTTAAAAAAAAAAGGTGACGCAATAGAGTGTGGAAATTATCAAACAGTATCACTAATATCACACACTAGCAAAATCCTGCTCAAGATTATCCAGAAAAGACTTGAACATTACATTGACAGAGAACTACCAGATTCTTGGCGAACTGACTGGAAGAGATCCATATTTATTCCCATTTTAAAAAAAAAAAGGTGACGCAATAGAGTGTGGAAATTATCAAACAGTATCACTAATATCACACACTAGCAAAATCCTGCTCAAGATTGTCCAGGAAAGACTTGAACATTACATTGACAGAGAACTACCAGAAATACAGGCTGGGTTTAGAAGAGGTCATGGCACTAGGGACATTATTGCAAATGCCAGATGGATCTTGGCAGAAAGGAGAGTAGTAGAAGAATGTCTATCTGTGTTTCACTGACTATGCAAAGGCATTTGACTATGTGGATCACAATAAATTGTGGCTAACCTTGAGGAAAATGAGAATCTGAGAGCACTTGGTTGTGCTTTTACGAAACCTGTACTTGGACCAAGAAGCAGTCCTCAGAAAAGAGCAAGGAAACACTGCACATTTC